TTCCCCGGTTTTCCCGCTAACCGACATCCCTCGCGAAACGAAGAGGCAAACTCGTGAATTTCTCACCACACCTTGTTTAAAATTCCAGTCCACAAAAGCACGTATGTATGTACGTTTGACATGTGATACATACTCGTATCTGTACGTGTTCGGGAGTGTGTGACCGTAAGGTTTACCTAAAGATTTAGAACGTCTTCTCAAACTACCTTCCATGATTTTCAACCTTTCGTAGAGTCAATTTTCAATTCTCGTTTTGTGTGACTGTCCTTAGGATTTGAAGTTTTAAGGCGAATGAGCACGAAGTGTGTGTGTGTATGTGTGTGTGTGTGTTTGAAATTGTTGTGAAGGATTTAATGGCCTCTAGGCGTTTGTCGTTCAACTGTATGCATATGTACATAAATACCTATATACTCGTGCATATGTTTGTATACGTACACGTATATGTGGGCTTGCCATCGGTTTGGCATTCGTTTGTGGTTCCAATAAAAGACGAGTTCTGCGGTTGGTGAGTGACTTTAAACTTTCATGAGATAAAGACATTCAGCGCCGCTGGGAAATTACTAAACGTTGGCTGGAGTTTTGGCACACATACATACACTATGTACATACATATGTGTGACGAGCAATCATAATTTTGGCAATTACCGTAATAACTTGTTGATTTTGTAATGCACTGAAACTATTTATGGTTAATTTTTGGCTAATTAAGTTTCCTTTTTGTTTGAATTATGCCCCAAAGCGATATAAGTATGAAGTCCCCGTTATACACGTATGTTTGTAGTGGGGCTTTGTGTTTGTCAACACGATTTTCGAGAATAGTTTTCTCATAATTTGCGTAACTTTAATTTGTAATGATTGAAACTTTAGTTGAATAAGATAATTTCATTTCAAAGCTTTTGACATTAAACGTGTTTGCCCGGACTTGTTTGTTCTTCCCACTTGTAAGATATTCAACTAGGGAAGCACCTTAAAACTCTTATTAGGGCTATCTTCTAAGAAGAAACTGTAATATTCTACAGCCTATCTATGAATAGGTAATTGGATTTTGCTTAAGGTTGGTATCAAGCCGTTGTCTTAGGTGGCAAAGGTGGTTAGGTGAGTTCACAGTGGCTACCGATCTACCGCATCGATTACTCTTAAGGCTGAGTAAAATCACCTGTGAAGCCACAAAAACTTGACTATTGGGGTTCGTTATCTAATCTCTAATGACCCAACGATCTTTATGACTTTGACGTCGGCTTGTTTCGCATCAGCAATAGAGTCTTAAAATTTCGAAAGCTAACACTGCCCACAGCAGGGCAGTCGTAAAGCAGTTGGGCAATTCTGCAGCATCACCTATAGGTTGCCTCTATTATTGTAGTTTAGACATGTCCGCGATCTCTTCCTACCCCCTTTTGGCCATATGTGCTTTCTTGCTTGTGAATTTCTTGCTTGATTTTTATATCAGAAATACAATCGAAGGGTTTGATATTCCCTGCCAAGGGGTGAACACAATTGGAGACATTTACTTTCTATAAATTTGGGTGGTGTTCGGATCAGGAATCGAACCCTTAACTTCCGAACGGCAGTATGCAGTGCTAACTGTTATTGCTCTTCTGATTCGTAATACTCTTGGAGAGAACACATTTCTGGTGTTTATTTGACAGTTGGATTAACGTTTCACACATCTTAAAAAAGTGAGCAATGTTTTTCGAAAATCGGTATTCTTTGTGCCGAAGATGAGTACGTTCAGCAGCTCGAAGAAATTTTCGGTAATAAAACGGAAAACCTACAAATGAAAAGTTTCGATTTCTAGAAGGAGTCACGAAGAACCAAGTAACTAACGGTGTTTTCCAAGAGTACTGTTTCACTACCTGTAATAATCAAGCTTCCTTGACTGTTCTCTTATGTGCATCTATATGTATGTATGTTCAGTGTCTTTCAGTGCGTAAAACATATATGTATTTGTGCATTTGTGAAAATTACATTGCTATAAAAAGAAAAACACCTACACATACATGCGTGTTTCTAAATACGTGCATACGCACACACACACACACACATTCCAATAGAAATATGCAAAATTTAATTATTTCAATATACAAATTTTTTCCACTGAAACTCTGAGGCCCAACGTCGCACACCCAAAACACACATAAATGCAAGTAGAACAACAAAAAATAATTAACAAAACATTTCAGGTGCACGAAATGGAGTAAAAAATGAAAAAGAAAAAAAAAAGAAAAAAGAGAGCAAGAAATAAATAAAGAACCTGCATATTTAAAAAGGGTCTCCTTTGCACGCCACTCACCGTGGCCTCACTTTCCTTTTCATCTGGCGCTGTTTTCTTAGCTGCTTTTCGTGTTTACTTTTCGAAGAGATTTCCCTTGAGGGCGAAAGTTCAAAAATGTTGCCAAATTAATATGTCAAGCGAAAGAGTTGTGTTGTTGCTGCTCCCACTGCTACCACTGCTGCTGCTGCCTAATTATGCAGCACATTCAATTTTCATTGCTTCTCTTTATTGTTGTTGTTGTTTTCGACTTTTAAACTCTTTCACCGGCAGCGGTGTTGAAAGCTTCCTACGAGCGCACATAAAGACTTCATTGGGGACATTTTTTACCCCAAAGGCTAATATTAAATTAATGCAAATTACATAATTTCGCATCCGAGCAGTGGGCAGGGTTGCCAGAGCGAAAACGAAATAATGGATGTGTATTTAAAAATTATGAAAATGTTGCATATTAAATTTTAAACACCACAACTGAGGAGGATTTTTGTGAAGGTTGTTGCGTTTGAGCCGCAAAAAAAAAAAATTTCGTTTGAACAGCGATTTTGAATAAGTGAAAAAAAAAACGATACCCAAAGCTTTGTGAGTTAATTAAAAACTTCTCATCTCAGTAGATTCTCTTTTGGTGTTTAATCTTGAAGAGTTCTTAGCGTGTCTTTTTGCAGTTTTGCAAACACTTACATAAACACTAATCAAAACAAATCGAATGCTGGCATAAGGAAAAAGCTCAGGTATCACATTTCTGTGGTCATTGATCATTGGCCAAACTTATATATATTACCGTTGTAATTACAGCTCAATGCGCTTTACGAGGCCTGTGAATGTGTTAAGCGTACGAAAGGGAATAATTAAAATCGACAAGCTTTGAAGAACATAGCAATAATAGACATATATTCACATGCACACACACACTTTGTTTAGTCTCTTTATACCCCGGAGTAGAGCATACATTGGGGTATGTGAACTTTCTTCCTCTACCGTTGAAATTATCAAGACTGATAACTAAACAAAAAAATTAAAATAAAAAAAGGAATGATTATTGATCTACCTACTTTCTCGTCTCCCCAAACATTTGGATTTGCTAAATCTAACTCTGCCAATGTAACTTCATTTCCGATTGTCCCTCGAAAAAGGTGCGTTTGTGAAATCAATTTTTCAGTTAATATCATAAACTAGAATTTCTACGTGGAACATTTTTGCAAGAAGGTGGAAATTATTGTGAAACTTGCTCAAGACTTTTTAATTATTGCGTTTGAAAGAAAAGCAACTTCGTTCAAGTCATGTGTGAAATTTCATCAAGATTGGTTGGGTAGTTCTCGAGAACCGACTTTGAAAATGCATTTTTGAGAAAAACGCGTTTAAAGTTCAAAACACTGAGCCTACCTGACTTTGGTAACCGTGCAGATTTTCACTACTTTCTAAACCACAATCTTCTCTAAATAATCTTTTCTGAGATTGAGGACGAATATCACTGTATATATGTAAAGTATGGCAATTATTTTCTAAAATTGTGCATGTTTTCTTTGACGCCAACCTCATCACTCTCTGCTCTACTTGCCGGTCGGCGCTGACCATAAAATTCAATAAGCATTCGGTGGGCTTCATTTGCACTTTTCTTCCAAATAAAATATAGAAGCAAATCTTACGGCAAATGCTGTTTATTTAACACAAATCCGGACATTTTCGAAGAGGGAAAAATAATGGCAGAAACAGACGCTGATGCACACTAATTACTGTTGCCAGATGTGAAACCTTCCTGCTGATATAGATCATCGCTTCCAAGATCGGCCCCAAGTTGCTCTCACGTTGTCGCACGGGATCAGCTTTATTGAAAGGTTAAGGCCATACAATTCCTTTGTTTGTTATTTCCCGGGGGCTTATTTGAGCGCTTGATTTGAAAAATTCAGAAAATATATATCATCGACTAAATTTTAAACAGATTTATAAAATACATTGTGTATATAACTGAAGCAGGCGGTGGTGTAATTTCGGTTCCGCCAGAATTTACGTCTCATTTTGGCATTCCTCAATTACGCTGCTGCTTAATAAAAACATAGGCGAATTAATAGCGCCGACGAATCTGACATAAAAAATTAGTTGACCCAACACATACTTTTTCACATACCTACATAAATACTCGTGCATGTATCACATAGATATATATGTACATATGTACTCGACACTGTGAATTTCCCGCACGACGGTGGCAGCTTCTGCAGCTGCAGTTCTCGACGCTCGATAAGAGGGCACGACACAAATAATTGCTTTTGTTTTATGGCGGGCTACGAGATTAATGACGTAAAAGCTTTCTCCTTGTAAATCTTACTCGAAACTCCCCCGCCAGCACCTCCAAGCCAAACAAATACTTACAGAGCTTTTGATGAGCATCCCAGTCCCAGCTAATAACTGTACACGTAATTGCAATGAGGTGTTTGGGTGTACCGTAAGCACTCCGCAAGGACGTCGACCTTGAGGATAAAATGTTTCGGTTTATAGTTTGATTCGTAATGAAGCTGCAGTTGAGTGCTTGGATGTAAGCGCCGGCCAGCTAATCATTGTCAAAGTGTGTAAACTTTGTCCCATTACCGGCTCGACACACTCCACGCCGCGGCTCGCTCAACTGACCGAAAGTGTTGCCAGGTATTTTCCACTTTGAGTTCGACGCACAAGTGAAAACAAAAAAGAATGATCCATTTACTCGTTATTCTTTTGTCATTACAGTTGAAGCAAATTTTATAAAAGTTGAAAAGAAAAAATTCTTGTAGAACACAATTTAAAGAAAAAGTTGAAAAAATATTTACATTTTGAACTACATAAAATATGTCGAAGCCCATACAAGGAAAAGAAGTCTTTGAGGCACTTGCCGACCTCAAGGAACCTGTAACCTTGGACGAAATCGTGCGTTACGTAGCCAAAACTCACTCACAATCGGAGGATAAAGTGAAGAAAGCGGTCGAGGATATATTAAATGGTGGAGTTCGTTTTGGCCTTGTAGAGAAACATAACGAATTTTACTACCGGATTTGTGATATGGTTGACTCCCTAGAAGATAGCTCTGAGGTGGATGAGGACGACGAGGTTGATAGTGGCGCTAGTGTTGAGAGTGTGCAAAGTGTCGACAGTGGGGATTTATTTTCTGAACCGCAGTCTAAAAAGAGCGTTGAAGCAAAAGCGCCGAAATCCAAGAATCATCGAGGTGGGAAGTTGAAGGATTATTGCAGTGATGAAGAAGAGGATGAGCAATATTTGCCATTGGAAAATAGAACTAGAAGAAGATCCCATAGATGCACGAGCGACTGCACTGGCTTCCATACCACAAGATCGCTGGACAATTGTCGCCACTCACGCACCCGCAGTCGTTCGGCTACACGTCGGCGTTAGTGTCGTGGTACTCGGCAACCATAAAGCTCGGCTCAGAGATTCATAGTTGAAGGTTGTTAGTTTTTCATTTTCGAAATTGTCTGTGAATTGTAAAATTTGTATGAAAAAATTGAAATGTGAAATTTAATTGAAAAAAAAAATATATATTGCGGATTTTATTTCGTTTGCAGTATGTTTTAGCGATACCCAGACCATCTGGTAACACCACCATACTAATGTGTGTACCGTTAGTTTTACTTGCTGCGTATTCAGCATTAAAGAGAAAAAACCAATAACTCAGTTACGAGCGCCATAGCTCAGCCTCGGCGAATTGTATCGTGCCATAAACATTGTTTCACCGAAACTTCTAATTACTCCTGCTGAGGACTTTTTCTTTTCGCAATTTGACAAATTTCCGGCGCTGAAGAGCCTTCTGGGACACTTCTCCCCATATCATGCGCCGCCTTCATTTAATGCAAACGAGTGGGGATGGTCGTAATGAGCGCGGGAGTGGGTGGTGGGAGTGCGAGGTGGGGCAGAAGGAGGTCCCGTGCATAAAAACACGCAACTCTGAAATTTAGTTGGCGTGGCATACTCGTTAATGAGAATCAATGGACCCAGCGTGGATGTGACACACGACAACACAACAAGCGACATTATGTATATGTACATATGTGTGCATAGACAACGGTACTTTCGTAATAACAATGTGTTGAGGTGTTGTCGTAAATAGGAAAACAATGCGAAAATAACGAGGCGGCTCAACGAACCTTTCAAGATTTATTTCTTTTTGTGCAAATTGAAGTTTCCTACTCATCGACCACGAGTACGTATGTGTGCGAGTGTGTGTACATGAAAATGGAACTAATACGATGGCCATTATGGAGGACACAATAAAACAGAACTAAACAAAACAAAGGCTAAGGTGGGTGTGCTACGGAGGCATTAAATAACTTTGCTTGACATTTATGGCCTTGTTCACCGTTATTTGCGGGTCGGTGTCGAAGTGCTCTTTGAGGCAAAGAGTCCTGCCATCTAGTGTTTTGTTTGTATATAAATGAGTGCAATTAAGCACAATAATAGTTGCTGGCATTAAGAATGTGGCCAAAAAAGCATCTTTTGTTACTAATTTTCAAATATATAAGACTTTGCTTTGCACCTCTCTCAAATTGGTCCTGCTCTTTAAAAATTAGTAGCAGGAAAGTGATGAGAAATATGAAGTCCTTAAATTAAAGTGCAAATGAACATTTTGGCGGACTTTTAAGCATAACCAAGTCCTTCGCCTCTTCTTGCTCTTCATCCTAGATGTTTTTGCGCCCATCGCACTGACCACTTAGTCGCCATTACTTTAAAGCAGGGAAGCATTAGTGTGATTAAAAGTGGCTTTTGTAATCTTTTTATATTTACAACCTCAGTTGATTTTATCGCAAATCTTAAGGCCACATAATCATCTATTTCAGCGGCTCAATAGTTGCCCTCTTTGAACTCATCAATTTCAACTCTAACAGTATCAACCTACAAATTTAATCTCATTGCTGCCAGTTGGAATTACCAATTACAGCCATGCCCTTCTCTACCTGAGTCTTTCAACGGAGTGAAGGTCTTCAGCCTCCCTGGGTCCTGCGTAGAATACTTTTAACGCTGGAGTATTCTTATTCATTCGGACCACGTGACTTACCCAGCGTACAGCGCCTAACGCCGACTCATCACATGTTACCATCGTCCACGCTTCCGCACCACATAGCAGGACGGGACCGAGGTGGGACTTGTAGAGTTTGGTCTTTGTTCGTTGAAAGAGGAATTTACTTTTCAGTTGCCTCAATCTTTTGGCGAGAAATCCCTCTTGGGCTGGATATTGTAGGCGTTTAAAACGGTTCAAAGATAAACAGAGTTATCTACGGCTTCAAAGTAATGACTGTCGACAGTGACGTGGTAGCCGAGTCGGTAATTCGATGGTTGTCTGCTTGATGACAGTACAGACCAATGTGCCTTGTCTGATGTCAATATCATCGGCATACGCCAGTTGCTGTAAACTCTTATAGAGGATTATATTTAAATACCTTCCATATTTAGTTTTTCAGATCGGATTATTTTGCCAGCAATAAATTAATAAAATCACACGACAAGGAAATACCTTGGCTGAAACCTTGATACCGATACTAAAGGAGTTGGGGCATTGCTTAACATCAGCTTACACACCTCAATGAAGAGGTGGGGTGTGTCGATTATCTTTTCACGATATCCAAGATCTGGCACATGGTGAATATTCAGTGAATGGGGAATTGACGAGATCTAAAGCCGCGCTGATAAAGTCCAATCAGTTTGCTTAGTCTTTCACACAATACATTATATAATATAATAAGATCCCATATACGATATTTAGGTAATTAAATCAGACCGTGTGGTCCCCTTTTTTGGGGCTTGGGCAAGAGGAAATAAAAGATATTAAGAAAAGTAGAGACCAAAGAACTTCTTTATAGTTCGGCCTCTCCTTGTTTTCTAATATCCCTTTACAAAACCTAAAACAGTAAAATTTGCTTTCCTCAAGTAGAAAGTAGCGCTGTTAACCTACATATTCAGGGTTTCCATCAAAATTGGTTTCGGAATCAAATTATATTAAGAACTTAGATTCCTCTTTAGTAGTTATATCCGGGTAAAAAAGTCGCATTGATGATTAAAGTATTTCAATACCTAAGTATTATTGAATCTCAGAGCAAAGCCGGGTGGTGAGCAGAGCGTAATACCATGCGAAAGATCGTGGGTTCGACTCCTGGTTCGACCAACATCGAAAAACTAAAGAAGTCTGATGAGGAGATGTGGTGATCTCCGAAACAGCTGTCACTTCTACCATTTTTTCTTTGTTGTATAACAAATATTCAATTCATACAAACAACAAGGCCTCGTAGGTTACTTAATAAAAATTAAAGAAATTTAATTTGAATAAAAAATTAAAATAATTTTAATTGCGAACGCCTATCGCCGGGGCATGTCAACACTTCCGAAATATTTAAAAAAAAAAAATTAAAACTATATTTAATGAAAGAAGCCGATTTAGAGATTTGGTTTTGGTACTTTATTCGCCTCTCAAACTTCTCTCTACGTCACTCTTAAATGTGTCACAAGAGGAAATCAAAGATAACCCGACTTGTCTCAGCCTGCGGTCATTTATCACAAAACTTTGTGTGCTTTTGAGACGACGAATTATGTGTTTGATACAAAAATTAAGTTTCAGTGCAAAAATGAAAACATAAATAATTAACAAACTTGTGCCCGAAATGAATGATAAATTTCACAGCAACAAAGCACCGTCAGCCCAACAAACAAAAGTCAATAATAAAAGCAAAAGGTGGGGTGAGTGATAAGTTCGTTTAATATTTATGTCTGTACATATCCTATTTAGGTATTCACAAACTGATTTACACCTACATATGAAAACAGTGCATGCCCCTTGAGGAAATCAGAGACCAACGGAGAATATCAGTGACTTGTCTCTTTGGGTTTAAAAACTTGATTTTTATATTGAAATTAACAGATTTTTTGTTGTACGAGATGTGAAACTTAAATCATGAGACTGACGGTGATTGTGGTAACATTGCGGCCTTGAAATTCTCTATCCCTTCTCCCGGCATCCTTCTCTCCTCGATAGCCTTTTTTCGGGATCGCAACCACCTTATTCGTCCGATATGTCATCCTGTGACTTTTTTTTGTTCCCTAGAACAAAGTCGTTGGTCAAAGGAACCAATTTTGAGTCAATTGGGGACATCCAGGCGGCCGTGACGAGGGTAGTCGCCAGTCAAAGCGGATGGTAGAGTTGTAGAATAATTTTGAAATAAACGGTTGTTATGAAATCAGTCTTGAACTTGACTTTTATTAAACACTCCTCTTCTTCTTAATTCACATAAGCAGTGCTTACATATAGCCGAATAACAAGAAAAAGCTTTTCGTTTCTTCTTTTCGGGTGAAATGAAGAGACTTCTCTCTCTAAGAAACTAAACAGCGATATCGCCTTATCTACCCTCCGGTTCCTCGTCTTTTGTCAACAATCTTTACTTCTCTGCCATATATTTGGATTATCCCTTCTTTCACTGGAAATGAAGTTACTCTTATTTTAAGGTCTGTACTTGCATTATACTAAAGACTGCTTCAGAAATTCCTGCCGGGTTCATCGCCAAAAACCAGCTCGCTAGGATTCGTAGCGTGCATCACACAACTCGGTCCGTTTTAGTTTGGCTATCCAGTATGTAGATGTAATTCATCAGTGATTTATGAAAAGCAAAACAATCTGGACATGGTGGAAGAATACAAAAAGTCGACAAGAGTAATTTCTCATTTCATTTCGCATGGCAAACTGATAAGAGACGTTGAGGGGCAAATGGCGGACATATACGGCTGTATACAAACATATCTATATACAATATATATGTGTACGAGTATATACATATTCATGGAGTGTGCATGGGGGCTACGACGTTAATATTCTCAGCTTAGGTTCATAGAGACACCACCAATTATATCTATGACAAACAAACACACACACACACACACACATACATTCATATATAAACTAATGGATGTAAACATACATACATTCGCGTACATACATACCATATTACGAGTATAGCGAAGCAAGTATCTGTTCCTGGACTGCTGGAGCATTATGACACATGACATTATTTAATTCCAGCGCCTCTGCCAACATAACGGTACATCATACTTACATACATGACACTAACCAAAAATCCAAATCAATAATGACAAGTTCAATAAAGATTTATGACTTTCACGACCACCGTCGAGTACCAGCGGCGTACGCTTGGGAGTTGCACACACACAAGCATATAAACACGAGTGACTTGGCGAGCGTTATTCCCCTAAAAATATGCTTCGCCATAGTAACTAGTTTTGTTGCTCTTATCTTTATCATTGGCTTATATAAATACACGTAAGCACCAGCCCATACACATGCATGCATACACACGTACACACATTTCGCTTATTCGATAAAAATTACAAACTTCTATTTCCTACGTGCCATCGAACTGTCCTCGATCGGCCGGGCGACATGTGTCGCCCGTTATATTTATGACCACCACTTGACTTTATGATTGTTCATTTCGCCCCCTCCCCACGTCGGACGGGGTAATCTGTGGGCACACAGACGCATA